CAGATCTTCAAACCAGCTGAAGCCATTTTCTAAACAGAAAGCTTTCGTGTTTATTCTGAGTGTGGAGAACTAAGGGAAATTTGTGAAGTGCTGGAAACCCGCCACGGAACCTGACGGGAAGCCAAAGGCTCAGCTCAAACTCATCAGCTCAGTGTGCCCGAAGTTAGGGACAAACTATGTATTTTTGCAGTGCAGGCCAGAAAAGATCTTTTTGTTTTGCAAATGGCTAAGAAAAGCCTTCAGGAGGGCAAGAATCCCGGGCCAGTGAACCTAAGACCCTGAATTGGAGCTGGATGTACTTCATCTGGGTCAGGAAAAGAGAAAACAGTGGCAAACCAATACATCCTGCTTATCCCATGATCCTCTTCTATGAACTTTGACCTCAAAGCAACCATTCTTTAAAAAAAAAAAAGACAATTGCCCATGTAATTGTAACCCCTCTATATGGTATTTTCACAATTGAAAAAAAAAAAAAGACAAGAGAATTGAATGCTTTTAGAAGCACCAGTAATAGCTAGCTCACTTTGAATAGTTTTGATTTTTTTCTCCCAAAGGCAAAATGTAGAGAAATACCAAGAAGCAATTCATGAAACCAGTTCTTTTTTTTGTTGGTCGTGGGGCCTGAACTCTGGGCCTGGGGCTGTCCCTCAGCTCTTCAGCTCAAGGCTAGCGCTCTACCACTTGAGCCACAGTGCCACTTCCGGCTTTTTCCTTTTTGCTTATGTGGTGTTGAGGAATCGAACCCAGGGCCTCATGCATGCAAGGCAAGCGCTCTACCCAGTTCTATCCCACATTTTTTGCCCATCCCTGCAGTGGAGACAGAAACACTACCGTCCATTGGAAGTGGCGCTGTGGCTCAAGTGGTAGAGTGCTAGCCTTGAGTAAAAGCTCAGGGACAGTGTCCAGGCCCTGAGTTCAAGTCCCAGGACTGGCAAAAAGAAAAAGAAAATAGAAATACCACAGTCCATTTTACAACCAGGCAGGTTTCTATTTCCTGGGGGGCAGGCACTGACCCCGGCTCATGGCTTATGACCAGAAAACCTCTGGGTGTTTCTTCAGGATCCACCAGCGACTCCCAGCGGGGGATGTGCCCGGGCTCTCCCGCCGGCGTTGTGCAGGCGTCCTGCCTGGACACCCACCATGCCTAGCCAGCCAGGTGCCGGCTGCTGCGCCAGTGACCCGGATCCCCTGCCTCCACAATGCACCTGTGGAGAATCGCTTTGCACACGGCCCGCCTCTGCTCCGGCCTGGGCCTCTGAGAGGCGGTGTAGAGGCTTTGTGGACAGGACCACAGATAAGCTAAGCTTGAGCTGTATTTAGTGACCAGGCGAATCACTCCCTGTACAAATGGCAGGCGATCCTGCGGATGAGCCTGCTTCGCTGGGCACCTGGGCCGCGCCGTCAGGCCGCTGTGCTCCAGCGTTGTTCTGTAGACGGCTCCCGGACCCTTTGTGCGGGTGGCCTGGGATCTCCCACCTCTCCTGCCCTCCTAGATGGCGTTCCAGGCCCGGCCTGAGCTTCCATTTCTGAAGAAGGCCTTGAGGCGCAGCCGGGAGCGCCTTCGGGTCCGCCCGCCACCCAGCCTTCCCACCCAGGACAGGCTGCTCCCGAAAATCACATTTCCATCCTAGACCTCGGGGACCCTCCTGGGATGGCGGTGCGCATCCTTGGGGGTCTTCTGTGAGCTGAACACAGATAAACCCAGCCACAGAAGCAGCAGTTCACGTCAGCCGAGCAGGGACGGGACGGGGTGTGCGTGGCCGGCCGTGGGGTCTGCACGCCACCCTGAGCGCTCAGACAGCAGCCCCTGCCTCCAGCCTCTGCTCACAAAAGCCTGCTTCAGCTGGTTCCGCTTGCCCCCAGAGTTCCATCACACACTGAGCCAAAGAACCCAAGGCTGGGCTGGAAAGGTGGCTCAGTGGTAGAGTGTTTGCCTTGCATGCATGAGGCCCTGGGTTCGATTCCTCAGCACCACATAAGCAAAAAGAAAAAAGCCGGAAGTGGCGCTGTGGCTCAACTGGTAAGAGTGCTAACCTTGAGCTGAAGAGCTGAGGGACAGCGCCCAGGCCCAGAGTTCAGGCCCCACGGCTGACCAAAAAAAACAAAAACGAAAAAAAACACCAAAAACCCAAGGCTGAGCTGCTGAGAGCGAAGGGCTGGGAGCTGGCGTGGCTGGCAACATTCTCAGCTGACAAAGCCAGGTTCTTCCAGGGCCGCCATGTTCCTGTGCCTAGAGGTGAAGCTGCATGCTCAGAAGCAAGTCCTATTCTCACAGCTTCCCCGGCCTGAGGCCCTGGATACCCTCACTCATCTCCACCTGGTCCTCCGGGAAGGGGCCCCAAATCTCTACGATCCCTCCCCCCTTCCCTCCCTTCTCCCCAAGAAATCTCCAGCTACTTCCATTGCAGCTTGCCGTTCATTTACTCATTCACTTGTTTCTCTATTGTTGAGCTAACTTCTCAGCCACGGTAGCCAACAATCAAAAAATGTTTTGCTGTGCAACAATATATTATTAGGACCTGTATTCTCATTCTTTTTGAACATTTTCTCCAATAACAAAAGGCAATATTTTTTTAAGTTTTACTTCTCTGAAATAATTATCATTCTTCTTTAGAAAAAAAAAAAAAGAACATTTACTAGATGGTATTCATTCCAGGATCACTATGCAAACTGAACAAGGAAGCAAACCAAACAAGGAAATGGAGGGCATAAGACAGATCACATACAGCCTAAAAATAATTTTTGTGGCCAGAATTGTCACATTAGGGAGAGAATTGCCAACTCATCCCTGAAAGAGAACAGAATATGTGAAAGTTGTATGTAAACCTGAATATGGCACGGGTGTAAAATCAGTCAGGCCAGAGTTCACCAGGCACTGGCTTGGATGGAAATTCACTGAATTCCTGATTGCACAGCTCTGTATTATTGGGCGAATTCAGCATCTGTTACAGCTTCTGGCCGAGGGACAACTGGACAGACATAAGGACAGACACAAAGGGAGACTGGTAAAGGGATGTGGGCACTGCCTGACAATTAAACAACTATTCGTCTGAGAAGTGAGATTCTCGGGGCACACCAGACCAGTCAGAAGAGACTTAAGACTGGCAGATTCCCAAGCTAATTTGCCAACCTGGGCTGGTAGCCTAGAACCCCTTCAACTGTAGTGCACTGGCGTGTGCTGGCTCTCGCTCTCTCTCTTTCTTTCTCTTTCTCTCTCCAGTAGACTTTGAAATTAATCTTAAATAAAAAATACAAGTAAACAGAAAACAAACAAAATGAACTCAACAAATTCCCCATCGGGATAATGCCATTGTGCTCGCCCGTTGGTGCTATCGCATAAACCCGTGGAAAAGGTCAAGGCAGTTCCTTCTGGTACGTACTAGAAAAAGGTGAGGAGTAGGAGATAGAAGGATCAGCGAAAAAATGTCCCTCTCCTCTTACTGAAGATTTTTTTTTTTCTGGGAACTTGCACAGTCCCTTTAGAGGAAGAAATCGATATGGAAAATTGATCCTGAAGTTTCCACCAGTTTCACGCCTGTCCGAATAGCAGCAGCCCTGCCCGGGAGACAGATTCACAGAGAGCTATGCAATCCAGTAGTAAACGGGACTCGTGGCACTTAAATATGTCTAGGCTGCAAGATGCCTTCCGAGAGTTCTGTGAGAGGCCACTGTGAGGTAGGCGTATCACGGGGGGGCAGAGGCACAGAGGGGTTCATCTGCTCTACCTCCACCGGCTGATGAGCCAGATGCCCAGGCCCCGAAACCTGGCTCACCCCGCTTCTCAGAGGCCTAGCCGCCTCACCCCACCCATGCAGCAGGAGAAAGTTTTCAGGTGTTTTGGTCATATATATTTCTTATTCTCCCTTTGAAAAGAAGGTATGGAAAACAGACAGAAAGGAACAAAACACGTCACCAACGCTGCCTAACAGTCTGTGTCACGACGCAGCCGACGCGATACGGGAGCCGTCTAAGAGGATTCAAGTAGGAGTGTGCGGGCTCCAGGCTGTGGGCGGAGCGGCCATTCCGGCACCCCAGTCCACTTTGGCCTGACCCAAGGGACACAGAACGACCACCCGTTTCCTGGTGAAGCCATTCTGAGAAAGACGCAGGTCAGGCCTGCCACGGGGACTCCCCGCCGAGGGACATGCACATCATGGAGCTGCACAGGACTCCTAAGACATGACGTGCACAGGACGGTTCACGCCACACACGGAGGGTTCGCACCACAGATCCATGCACTAGCACCATGCCACACAAGCCAGAGAGGACAAGGAGCCGCCCCGCAGCGCGGGCCAGGCCCACCCGTCCGCGTATACTTTAGTCACAGGGAAGTTCCAAGGCAAATTCCATTTCCTCAGCAAGACAGAGCACTATAGAGCAAACTCCAAGGCGATGCAGGCCCCAGGGCACAGCAGCTACAGTATTATCGCATGCATGCGTGCCGGTACTGGGGCTTGAACTCAGAACCTTGTGCTCTATGCTTAGGTTTTTTTGTTGTTGTTTGCTTAAGGCTGGTGCGCTACCATTTGAGCCACACCTTCAGTGCTGCCTTTTTTTTTGGTGGTTAATTAGGTTTGTCTCCCTTGGCTGGCTTTGAACTATGATCCTCAGATCTCAGCCTCCTGAGTAGCTAGGATGACAGGCGTGAGCGACCAGCGCTAGAGCTCTTTTACTCTTGCAATCAACTTCAGGGTACTTCTGCAAGCTAGTGCTTTCGGAAATACAGTAATTCCTTTTGAGACTTTTTTTTCCTGTAGTCTCAGAGAAATAAATTCCACACAAATGGAAGAACTTATTTTGGCTGGAGAGTCTGAAGCAGCCAGGGACACCCAATTTGATACAGGGACCTAGCAATTGTTTTTGCCTTGGAACTGACTCCACTGCGCATGCTCCCAGGGCCTGGCCTCCCTCGAGCTCCTCTTCCAGAGGCCCGAGCCTGCTCTGTCCTCTGCACGTGCAGGACCAGAGGGAAACATTCAAGTTTCATCGGGGTACTAGGATGTGGTATAGGAGAGATGCATGCACTTTATTTCTAACACCCAAAGCTCAGGCGGAGGCTGAGCTGGTGGTCACTGTGCGAGATGAACGAGCAGGACGTTCTCGCCCCGAATGAAAATCTGATTGATGTGTCGGGTGAACACCTGCTGGTAATCCACCTTGGGCTTTCGCTTTTTCTTCCGGGGCTGGCCCCGGGACAGGGTGGTGGCCCTGGAGACCGTACCTCCGGCACTGGACCCTTCGGTCCGGGTAGTCCTCGCTGACAGCTCCGACCTCGACTCCTCCCTCCCAGAAGCCTGCAGGGAGGAAGGGACGGAGCGTGACCGCCTGCGGGCGCTCCGGTCCGTGTCTCCTCGGCCCCACACGGACGCCACCTTCCAGGTGGACGTCTGTGAGTGCCTAGACAGCGTGGAGTCTTCCACCGCAGACTTCGAATCAGCATCCTTCTTGGAGGAATCCTGGAGCTTCAGCCGGTCAAACAACTGTGAGGAAAGTGAGAAAGCATCAGCCTTCTCATTCACCCCTCTTTCAGCCCCCCCTACCCCCCAAAGAAGACCGGAATCCTCCACAATGCTCTGTGAAGCCTGTATTACCACCTCTGAAAAGTCAGCAATGGCTTGTGTATTTCTAGCCCAAACTCAGGAATCGGTCAGCACTATGCCAAGGGAAAAGGCACCCGCTTGTTTCTGTGGTGTAGAACTGGAAGATTTTCAGAGCCTTCTAAGAGGTAATCTGGCCAGGTGCCAGTGGCTCACACCTGTAATCCTAGCTACTCAGGAGGCTGAGATCTGAGGTTGGGGGTTCAAAGCCAACCTGGGCAGGAAAGTCTGTGAGACTCTTATTTTCAATTAACCAGCAAAAAGCTAGAAGTAGAACTGTAGCTCAAGTGGTAGAGCACTAGCCTTGAGCACAAAGCCAGGTGAGAGAGCTCAAAGTCCTAGTTCAGGCCACAGTACTGGCACCACACACACACACACACACACACACACAGATTATCTTGCAGGAATTTGCAGGTGAAGATTCACACATGCATTTGAGATCAACTGGACACAGACAGGAGACCAGTGAAGGGCCTTTGCGGGCACACTGGCGTAACAGGGCCGGGCCAGCCTGGGCAGTGGCTCAGTGACCCCTGACCTTGCAAGGTGGAAAGTGCACCCAGGAGGGCAGGGGACACTGCCTACCCTCGTGAGAGTCAGCGAAGAATCCCGCTCGTATGCCCTGCCCAGAGCAGGTTTGCGGTAGGTCTCATCCACATCTGTAAGTGCCTAGAGGAAGAGCCCAAAGGGGGGAAAAAGGAAGAATTGAAAACATTACTGTAATAGCATTTGTAATACCCAGCAGAACTAACCATAAAGATAACTCAGCTCTTGGGCAGGAGAAAAACGATGAAGGAAAGGGCGGTTGGGAGGAAATAAATGTCTAAATAGATGGGGAAAATATTCTTTGTGGCTCAGTGTTCTCCCCTTAGTAAAATTAACACGCAGCAAGCAGCTCTCTGAATGAATGACAGGAAAGTAAAACCGACTCAATTGCGTTGGGAGGGGAGCCTCAGGGAAGAGGCGGGTGTACGAGAGAGAGTGAATGAAGGTGAATATGGTTGAAGTGGTTCATTTTCACGTATGAAAATGCAATAATGTGGGGGGCAGGGGGGAGGCTGGGAAGGGATGTGAAGGGTAAACAAAGGAGGAGGATGCAATGCTTGGTAAGAAATGTACGCATTATCCTGCCCATGCAATTGTAACCCCTCTGTACAATATGTTCACAAATAAAATAAAATTAAAAAAAATAAAACTTTTATGCTAATAAAAAAAATAAAATGCAATAATGAAGCCTGCTGAAATTGGTTTTTAAGAATGAAGACTGAGGGGCTGGGAAGGTGGCTCAGTGGTAGAGCGCTTGTCTTGCATGCATGAGGCCCTGGGTTCGATTCCTCAGCACCACATAAGCAAAAAGAAAAAAGCCAGAAGTGGTGCTGTGACTCAAGTGGTAGAGCGCTAG